GACTTCGCCACACAAGCCCAGAGACAATCTGGAGGCTGCTAGGCATCCTGAACTCCTGCTTGCATCAGTGGCAAGCTGAAAGCACTTGAAGGATCAGGCCCTATGCAAAGCAATAATTGTGATAAAGTGGGATTATGCTCAGAGTATAATATGTACCTGCAGAGGCTAGCATGTATACCTCTGTCCATTCTGAGTACCAGCTATCATGCTCCCTCATCACAGTCATCTATCACAAGCAGCGATATAGAGCTGAACTATTTGAGCCATACTGGGGTCCCAATGATCTTGTATAGGCAGCAGGTTTAAAACGAACAAAAGGAAGTATTTCTTCACACAACGCACAGTCAACCTGTGGAAGTCTTTGCCAGGGGACGTTGTGAAGGCCAAGACTGTAATAGGGTTCAAAAAAGAACTAGATAAGTTCATGGAGGATAGGTCCATCAATGGCTATTAGCCAGGAGGGGCAAGGATGGTGTCCCTAGCCTCTGTTTGCCAGAAGCTGGGAATGGGAGATGGGATGGATCACTTGATAATCACCTGTTCTGTTCATTCTCTCTGGGGCACCTGGCATTGGCCACTGTCGGAAGACAGGATACTGGGCTAGATGGACCTTTTGGTCTGACCCAGTCTGGTCGTTCTTAAGGTGTATTTCTCCCATATTCCCCAGTCACAGCTCTCTATTTCTTGTGCTGTTCTGCCTTGTGTGAACACTTCTCATGGGTGGATGCACAGCCACCCATGGATAGAAGTAGGAGCACTCCAGCACATCCCATATATGTGACCTGACCCCTACCGACCCAACTCACAATTGGGAAGTGGGCTGGAGTTGTGTGACTGCGCAGGAGCCATTTACTCTGTAATTGCAGAACTGTAACCCAGTGCTCATCTCCCCCCTCATCATATGATGCCACGGTCAGCCTGTGCCACGTGTCAGCAGTCTCATGTCCAGGGCTCCATAAACACCTCTATGTAGGTCAGCGCGAAAAGCACTCGCTCAGTACGATATGCCACTCCTCCACTATACTCAGTCTCATTTATTCTCTGGAGAACCTTTCTCTGATTCATCTTATTTATCCTCACTCCAAGCTTTGTTGTTCCAGCCTCAGTGGATCTTGAGTTTTGCTATTTGCATGGATGTCTTCCAGCTGCAGGAGGTTCTCATTAGATACACTTGCTCTGCCCTGAGCTGGTATCCAACCAACAACCCAGGAGGCTCCTGTAGTCCAGCCTAGAGAAGAGGCATCTTCCTTGGAGTTTCAGAGGAACAGCCGTGTTAGTCTGTATTCGCAAAAAGAAAAGGAGGACTTGTGGCACCTTAGAGACTAACCAATTTATTTGAGCATACCTTATGCTCAAATAAATTGGTTAGTCTCTAAGGTGCCACAAGTCCTCCTTTTCTTCTTCCTTGGAGTGTTTCTCACAGTAAGGAAGAAGCAGGATTCAGTCGTGATGATTTTAAAAGGGGTTGAGGTTGTTGAGGTTCCTGGACACAAACAGCTACTGTAGTTCTCTCTAGCTTCCAAGCTAAGTAACATCAGCTAGTGTCACCACTCAGCGCCTCCCTAAATCCCTAAATCTTGGACGGAGCATGGGCTGCTGACCGTATTCCTTTCTAAACCCTCACTGAGGACTAAGCCCGTATCAGTTTTCAAACTCCAGCCATTTTTAATGTAACCCCAACGAAAAAGGGTCCTTTTGCTCACAGTGCCCCAGGGAAGGGGGAGGGCGCTTGATTGCACACTCGCATGCCTGGGCGCCATAATTCACCACCAGGGAGGCAACACCGGCAGCTCTAGTGCAAACGGGACCCTGGTGTTTTCACCTCCCTGCCATGTCACCCTGTGGGAGCGGGAGATGACATGACGGTGAACACCCCTGATCCCTGTTGCCACCAGCACTTTCCAACGGCGACCACCGCGTGGCATACAGGGGCCAGAAAGGTGCTGCAAAGAGCCAAAGCAGAATGTGTGTGGCCACTCTGTTCTCCTCCTGGCCCCCCGCCCCCCAGCATGCAAGGCGCAGGGTTCAGGCCAGGGGGACAGGCCCCCAGAACATAGTCCTGTGGAGATGCTGGGCTGTGTTACAGCCCATAGGCAGGCCAGGTGAGGTGATCCCAAACGGACCCATTTCCTAGCACAGACACAGCTTCGGCCAGCACGAAATCAGGGGGGCTGAGAGCCACTGAACGCATCGTAAACCCTGCATAGGACTGAAACCACTTCAAGCCAGGGGGTGTGGCAGCCCCCCAGCACCTCTATCCCCAGCGCCTGTGTGAGCCTGAGAGCTGGCCCTGATCGGTGCCTGCTATTGGAACAGCTGCCCCCCAGGCCCTCTAGTGCCATGGTCCTGATTAGGGAAACAAAATAACCATCACACTCAGGATACACGTCGCTCTCAGCGCCCTGGGCGCGGGAATCGCACCGTGCACCGCACTCGGGCAGGGGAAGGGCCCGGGGGTCGCACTCAGCGCCCTGGGTGGGTCTATGCGGGAATCGCACCGTGCACCGCACTCGGGCAGGGGAGGGGGCCGGGGGTCGCCCTCAGCGCCCTGGGTGGGTCTATGCGGGAATCGCACCGTGCACCGCACTCGGGCAGGGGAAGGGCCCGGGGGTCGCACTCAGCGCCCTGGGTGGGTCTATGCGGGAATCGCACCGTGCACCGCACTCGGGCAGGGGAGGGGGCCGGGGGTCGCACTCAGCGCCCTGGGGTCTATGCGGGAATCGCACCGTGCACCGCACTCGGGCAGGGGAGAGGGCCGGGGGTCGCACTCAGCGCCCTGGGGTCTATGCGGGAATCGCACCGTGCACCGCACTCGGGCAGGGGAAGGGCCCGGGGGTCGCACTCAGCGCCCTGGGCGCGGGAATCGCACCGTGCACCGCACTCGGGCAGGGGAAGGGCCCGGGGGTCGCACTCAGCGCCCTGGGTGGGTCTATGCGGGAATCGCACCGTGCACCGCACTCGGGCAGGGGAAGGGCCCGGGGGTCGCACTCAGCGCCCTGGGTGGGTCTATGCAGGAATCGCACCGTGCACCGCACTCGGGCAGGGGAGGGGGCCGGGGGTTGCCCTCAGCGCCCTGGGTGGGTCTATGCGGGAATCGCACCGTGCACCGCACTCGGGCAGGGGAGGGGGCCGGGGGTCGCACTCAGCGCCCAGGGTGGGTCTATGCGGGAATCGCACCGTGCACCGCACTCGGGCAGGGGAGGGGGCCGGGGGTCGCACTCAGCGCCCAGGGTGGGTCTATGCGGGAATCGCACCGTGCACCGCACTCGGGCAGGGGAGGGGGCCGGGGGTCGCACTCAGCGCCCAGGGTGGGTCTATGCGGGAATCGCACCGTGCACCGCACTCGGGCAGGGGAGGGGGCCGGGGGTCGCACTCAGCGCCCAGGGTGGGTCTATGCGGGAATCGCACCGTGCACCGCACTCGGGCAGGGGAAGGGCCCGGGGGTCGCACTCAGCGCCCTGGGTGGGTCTATGCGGGAATCGCACCGTGCACCGCACTCGGGCAGGGGGGCCCGGGGTCGCACTCAGCGCCCTGGGTGGGTCTATGCAGGAATCGCACCGTGCACCGCACTCGGGCAGGGGAGGGGGCCGGGGTTGCCCTCAGCGCCCTGGGTGGGTCTATGCGGGAATCGCACCGTGCACCGCACTCGGGCAGGGGAGGGGGCCGGGGTCGCACTCAGCGCCCAGGGTGGGTCTATGCGGGAATCGCACCGTGCACCCACTCGGGCAGGGGAGGGGGCCGGGGTCGACTAGCCCCAGGGTGGGTCTATGCGGGAATCGCACCGTGCACCCCTCGGGCAGGAGGGGCCGGGGTCACTCAGCGCCCAGGGTGGGTCTATGCGGGAATCGCACCTCACCACTCGGGCGGGAGGGGCCGGGGCCGGTCGCACTCAGCGCCCGGGTGGGTCTATGCGGGAATCGCACCTGCACCGCACTCGGGCAGGGGAAGGGCCCGGGGGTCGCACTCAGCGCCCTGGGTGGGTCTATGCGGGAATCGCACCGTGCACCGCACTCGGGCAGGGGAGGGGGCCGGGGGTTGCCCTCAGCGCCCTGGGTGGGTCTATGCGGGAATCGCACCGTGCACCGCACTCGGGCAGGGAAGGGGGCCGGGGGTTGCCCTCAGCGCCCTGGGTGGGTCTATGCGGGAATCGCACCGTGCACCGCACTCGGGCAGGGGAGGGGGCCGGGGGTCGCACTCAGCGCCCTGGGTGGGTCTATGCGGGAATCGCACCGTGCACCGCACTCGGGCAGGGGAGGGGGCCGGGGCCGGGGGTCGCACTCAGCGCCCTGGGTGGGTCTATGCGGGAATCGCACCGTGCACCGCACTCGGGCAGGGGAGGGGGCCGGGGGTTGCCCTCAGCGCCCTGGGTGGGTCTATGCGGGAATCGCACCGTGCACCGCACTGCGGAGGCCTCTGCACTCAGCGCCGGGGCCTGCGCGGGGAACCGCGCCCTGCAATGCGCTCGAGGAGAGCAGCCTGCCACTCAGCGCCCTGGTCTGTGTATTGCACTCGGGGCGCAGACGTTTCCACACCGCGCCCGGGTCTGTGCGGGGTTAGCACCGCGCAATGCAGGGGGGGGAGGGATGTGTACAGTTTGCACACGGCGCCCTGGTGTGTGCGGGGCTAGGACCAGGCAATGCGGGGGGGGGGATGTTTACAGTTTGCACAAGGCGCCCGGGTCTGTGCGGAGTTAGCACCGCGCAATGCGGGGGGGGGGATGTTTACAGTTTGCACACGGCACCCTGGTGTGTGCGGGGCTAGCATCGCGCAATGCAGGGGGGGGAGGGATGTGTACAGTTTGCACACGGCGCCCTGGTGTGTGCGGGGCTAGCATCGCGCAATGCGGGGGGGGGATGTTTACAGTTTGCACACGGCGCCCTGGTGTGTGCGGGGCTAGCATCGCGCAATGCGGGGGGGGGATGTTTACAGTTTGCACACGGCGCCCTGGTGTGTGCGGGGCTAGCATCGCGCAATGCGCTCCGGAAGGCTTTGCACGCAGCTCTGTGCGGGGGCACCCCCGAGCCCTGTGCGATGCACTCGGCACGGCCGGGTTTGCACGCAGCGCTGTGCGGTGATAGGAGCCGCCAGCAGTCCCCAGCTCCGCTCGCTGCTTCGGGGCCCGTGTGCAGGGCTGGCGGGGGCGGTGGTTTTGCGCCCGCTCCCACGCCTCCGCCGGGATAAATAGGAGGCGGCGGGCAGCTCCCCTCCACCTCGCCTCGCCTCCTCCGTGTGACTGAGCCGCGCCCGAGAGCCATGGATCCCCAGGACTGTCTTTGTGCTACCGGTGAGTGACTCCTCCCGCTGCGGAGACGCACACACCCTGCTCCAAGCTTATGGGGCTCTGCTTCCCCCTCGCTGGGAAACAGCCACGCTCCTTGCAGGGGAAGGGGAAGGATCAGGATCGACGCGCCCGGGAGCGGCTCTGGCCTCTCCCTTCGGGGCCGCTGTGAAATCTCTGCGACTGGCTCCTGCAAACCAAACTCCCTGGTTCAAATGTCACTTGCTTTTACCTTCGCGCCCCGGGCTGGCTTGTAAAGATCCTTTTCCAGCGGGGGGGTCCATTTTTAGGCTACTTTCCAATATATCCCCATGGAGCGGGGAAAAGATTTTGCAGTGAATTTTTGTCAGATCCAGGTAACAAGACCGATTCAAACCAAGGGATAACCTAGGGGTAATTCGTACTTAACAGGGCAATGGGAAGCAATTGACTGAGATGAAACCTGTTGATGGGGGGTAATCAATTATTTGTTGACAAGGTCCAGACTCAGGAGAAAAGAATATAATAACAAGTTAATAAGACTCTTTGTGGTGTGTTAAACACCTGGGGGTTTGGTCCATGGTCTGTCTATTGACTTTCCCTGTTGTTGAGGTTTTTTTTTCATGTTGGTGATAAAATTCTCCCCTTGCCCCCCGATTGTCCTCTTAATTTTAGTCCAGCTGTGATGCTCATTTCCCCCCCCCCCCTTATCTACCAGGTGGCTCCTGTACCTGTGCTGACTCCTGCAAATGCAAGAATTGCAGGTGCACCTCTTGCAAAAAGAGTGAGTATTTCTCTTCCCCCCCCCCTTAAAAATGTTTTGTCAACCAAGCAGTTGCCTGCCTTGCTGAGACTGAGATGAATGAGGGTTTTGTGACTGGCTTCCATGGCAGCAGTATGGAGGCTGGAATATAGAAGCTAGAATTTCTGGCCTTGATCTAGCAAAACAATTAAGCCTGTGCTCAACTTTGTCTGTGGGAGTGGGCTGTGCTTTATGGGCCTGCTGCAAAGCCCATCAAAGGGAAGATGAGTCTTGCCTTTCATTTCAGTGGGATCTTGGGATCAGGCTGCAAGTGCTTTGCTGACAGGGAATGGTTTTAAGCATATGCTTTAAGATAAGCAGGTGCTTTGCTGAAGCAGGGCATCTGTTGTTAAACTGTATACTTATTTTGAAGTGTGGGCCTGAAAGGTGGAATCCATGTCCTTTCCATAAGTATAATTTGTAAAAACTTCTCTACTTTCCAATGCCAACTAGTTTTTTTTCATATGCTGAGTATTCTTAACAAAACTGTTGGGTCAGAGCAAGGATGCTGACCTATATTAAGGTGAGAAATGACCCAGGATTGTCCAGTCTTGACTTTATGTGGTCTTTGTGAGGAATATGTATTAACAATACAACTGAGATGTTTTAATATTTTATAAAGTATAGTTCACAGCATGGTTTTGCTCCTTGTCTTGTCCATGTTGAACTTCCTTAAATTCTTACAGGGGAGGGTTGTTGGTGTGTGTTTGGTTTGTTTTTCGTCTGGCATCTCCAATAATCTTGTCTTGATTTTTGTCAACAGGTTGTTGCTCCTGTTGCCCAGCTGGATGCAATAATTGTGCCAAGGGCTGTGTCTGCAAAGATCCAGCAACCAGTAAATGCAGCTGCTGTTCTTAAAATGGCTATTTTCTGTTCTCCTGTAAATATTCTGTATGAAAGGAGAAACTAATTTTGTTTGTAATGTAGCAATGACTATTTTGTACCTTTCATAGAAATGTTGATTTGAGGTTGAATGAAAATAAAGGCCATGATTGGAGAAATGTAATGCTGGACTTACTCAGCATGTTCATTCAATTCAGTGATTTCTAGCTTGCAAGACTAAACCCCCTGTTCAGAGTTTAGTTCTTGCACAGGGCGTTAGCAGCACATCTCATGGGAGCATTAACAAGAACCCAAAGAATGCAGCTCATGCATGAAGCTTTAGCATGGGCTTGGCTTGGCTTTTGCCAGCAGAACTTCAGGCAAAAGGAGAAATGTTTTCAAACACAGTATTTCTGTAGTGGTGGCTCTGAAAGTTGTTTTTGTCCCTTGGTAGCAAGGAGAAGCAGCCTAGGAATCGCTGTGCCTAGAACACAAGGCCTAGTTCTGCAAGATGCTGACCCTCAATCCATTGTGCCAATTCAGATGCAAGTCCAATGCAGAGGAGTGAAGTCTAAACTGCCGTAACATCCCTTCATCCTGATTTCTTAACACACATATTACATCAACTTGGGGCCTGTCTACACCGCCACTTCCAAATGCATTTATAACCAGCTAGTGACAGGGCTGGCTCAGAACATCTTTTGTGTCTACATGACATGGTTAGTAGCTGCAGCAGCTTACTCTATCCCCCAGGCTGGGAATATGGCGGTCTTCCTGTAACCAGCCCACAATGTTTTACGGTCCAGATAACTGATCTGGCTAGCCTTCCCGCTCACTGCAGTAGGCCAGGATCTTCCAGACTAGGTTGCTGTAGGTGTTGCTCTGTATGTATGGCCTGTAGGCACTCTACTCACATGAAGCCCTGTAGGCAAGCTGCTCAGAATGCAACAATACAAATACAACCAGCCACAAGGGTAGACATGGACATACAAAGGTTAAGGGGAAATAGCTGACTTAGCTACAGTCTCACTAATTAAAAACCAGGGGCTCATTAGAGTTTGTACACCTTTAATTGTGTTGGAAGGAAGAGGGGCTTAATAGCCCCTAGGTTATCATATTAGGACTTGTTGGCTTCTTGGTTGCTTGTCTGGGGGTTGCCTGGGTACCCATTTGTTAGCAGTGGGACTCATAAAATGACACAGCAAGTAGTTACTATAGCCAGAGGAAAAGCCATTCCTGGGGCTGTTTTTTTTACTGACAGGTGGCAGAAATGACTGAGAACGAGAGGGGAGCTAGCTGAGAAAGAGTGACCATGTGCACCTGCAAGGAATTGGAGGAGGGAGCAGGGCAGCACAAGGATATGAGCTTTCAGGATGGCAGACTGGGGAATTAAGAAATCTAGTGAGGAGGCTGCACTGGGTGGAAGGATTAAAATCTACCACTTTAGAAAATGACCAGCTAAAGAGTGTGCAGTGCTCAGATGCTCTAGTAATGGGGGCCATAAAAGTACCCAAGATAAATAGAGCATGAGCCATGATGTGGCAGCAAAGAAGGCCCATGTCATTTTGGATCCCACATGTGGAGGGAGGCCATGGCCTCCTTGCCCCCCTCTGGGGCACTAGGAGTCTCTTAGGAAGCCACGTTGTTTGTTGTTGCTTGTATGCTCCCTTCTAAACTGCTAGATTTTAATACGTCTTCCCATTGCATCTGGCCAGAATCCATCTCCTAATTCTTGCTGCTCAGCAATTCCATAGCCTGGCTGGGCAAGCAAAGTGAGGTCTAACACTCAACTCTGGCATTACTAGTCTATTTATCCTCATAAAATCCCTGTGAGGATGGGACTGTGCTATTATCCCTACTGTATAGATGGGAAACTGAGGCGCAGAGAGACTATGTGACTAAGGCCTTTTCTACACTAAAAAAATTAAGTCAACCTAAGTTAGGTCAACGTACAGCTACCACAGTAATTACTGTAGTGGTTCATGTCCACACAATGCCCCCCACGTCGGTGGTACATGTCCTCCCCAGGAGCACTTCCACCAACTTAACTGTGTGAAGTATTGTGGGTCACTGGAGCCCCTAGCCCAGGGATGCGTGGATCAGGCTGTCAGCCCTAGGGTGGCTGGGCTCCCGCTGTGAGCTCCGTGCAGGGCTGGCAGCCAACAGGCAATGTAAGTAACACAGTATCTCCATAGACATGGCGTCACCCTAACGACATCAACCTAAGCACTACGCCTCTCATGGAGGGGGCGTTATTAGGTCAGTGTAGTGGGCAATGGACATCAGCGGGAACAACGCTGTAGTGTAGACACTGATAAGAGTTAGGTTGACATAAGATGCCTTACGTCCACCTAACCGTAGTTTAGACCAAGCCTAAGGAAATCTGTGGCAGAGCAGAAAACTAGACCTAGATCTCCCAAATGGCACCCTTAACCACTGCATCATCCTTCCTCTCAAAGGCGAGCTTCTGGCTAACATGCTGCTAGCTTCTAGCTAACATTATCAGCCCTTGGGCTCTTTCAAGATTACAGCCTCCTTGGTGCTCTCTCTGGGTGAGTATGCTAGATATGAGTTAGCAGTGCAGTAAGGCACGAATGCAATACTGGGCTGTGTGTCACCGGACAGGGAGAAGATAGCTCCCTACCTCACAGCATGTGGAGTATTGTGTTCAGGCCAGAGCCCCTCGGTACTGGAAAGATAGTAAAGAATTGGAGGGAGCTCTGAGAAGAGAAACAAAATTAATCAGGAGGCTGGAGGGGGTCTGGTTTCTGAGGAAAGACTGGAAATGTGGTTCAATACTTAGAACTGGGCTAAGGAAGGATGGCTAAAGTGGGGTGGGTGGGCATGAGGAAATGCTGCTCGTATCTGAAGGGTGTAAACCCCAAGGAAGGAAAGGGATTATTGAGCACAGTACACAAGGAGCACCCAGAGGGTGATAGGAGGAAATTAAGAAGGGGAATGTTCAGGCTGAATATCAGTCAGTGGGAGCTGGAGATACTCAGTGCCCTGGAACATTAGCCCAAGGTGTTGCAGGATTGGTGCCCCAAAACGGCAACACCCACTATCCGCGCACTTTTTGAAAATGTTTTATATTTGATCTGTCAGTTGTGGCTTTTTCTTCATCATCCCGGGCAACCACGAGTAGAGTTACCACCTTTGAAATGCAAAAATCCAGCAGTTCCGCCACCCCCACAAAACAAGCCCCAGGCAACCCCAACCACAAGGTAACTCCAGAATCTCCCTCCCCCTTCAACAGCCACTTATTGTATCTAGAGAGCTAACACATATGGATAAGATTGATGACATCATTTTCTTAAACTGCAGAAGTGGAAGCACGGTAGCATCTTTAGCTGGACACAGAAACTTTTAACATCAGGTATCCCAGTATATTGTGATAATAATGCAAATCTTTAGACCCAGGTAAAAAAACCCCAGCAGATTAAATTATTTTTCTGCCAGCTGGCAATGCCATAAAAAAACTGGCCAGACCAGTCAAATACTGGCCCTACCAGGTGGTGACCCTAATCACGAGGGACTCAGTAATACAACTGTAAGGGTCTGGTTTCCTGTTCATCTGTCAGAATGCTGACAAAGGATGTAATTGGCTGGAGCAATTTATTTTCAGGTAATACAAGACTCTCATTTTAATCCAGAAAGTCCATTCATTGGGATGGCTCCCAAGGAGTTCATTTTTCCCCAGTATCTGTGGATATTTGAAGCTTTGTGGCCACCTTTTCTGAAGCTTAGTGCTGGTCTTACTGGGACTCAGCTGTTATAAGACTTGTGACAGGAAATTGACCTCTTTGGGAGATCTTACTCTGTTACAAAGTTTATGTATCATTGTGAGCCAGGGACTGGATGTAATTCCATGGGGGAGGGTGACCACAGCTCCTGCAGGAACTAAGAATGGGGGGCAATTAGGCAAATTCACTGAGGGTGTAACACCTCCAGAGAGGTGACTCCAGTGGAGACAGTCGACTATAGCAGTTCAAACTGGATTCTCCACAGACAAATAGACAACGAAAGGACTTCTGGATGAAAAGCCTGACTTTGAACTGACTCAGGGCCTTCTTTGCATTCAGTGTTGTAGCCATGTTGGTCCCAGAATATTAGAGAGACAAGGTGGATGAGGTATTATCTTTTACTGGACCAACTTCTGTCAGTGAGAGAGAGAAGCTTTTGAACTTACTCAGAGCTCTTCTTCAGGTCTGAGAAAGAAACTCAAAGCGTCACTGTTGAATACAAGATTTGAATAGATTGGTTAGCATAAGTGAACCCCCATTGAACGGTCCCTTGAAATATATGTTAACTGCCTGTGCTAAACCATCTGTTCAAACCTTGTGACACTTTGAGTTAGTTTTCCAGACCTGAAGAAGAGTTCTGTGTAAACTTGAAAGCTTGTCTTTCGCTGACAGAAGTTGGTCCAATAAAAGATAATACCTCACCCACCTCATCAGGGCCTTCTTTCTCATCCAGCCAACAGCAGGATCTTCTGTCAAAGGAAGCCCCAATCCTCCCTAGCAGGGACTTGCACGGCTTTGGCCGACTGAGACCCCATCAGACTGCTGGAGGACTTCTGGTAAGTGTGAGGAGCACAGCTGGTGCCCAGCCTAGTTGCTAGGCAACCCAGCAAACTCAGCTGGGCCCAATGAGCCTTTCACAAATGGCTGTGCTGCCTGACTGGTCAGGTGAGCCAGCAGCCTGCTACCTGAGCCCGGCAGCACAGTGACTGCTCATCGTGTATCATACCTATAGCTGAACTTGCCCTGCTCTAGCTCTTCACTCCCGGGTGCTTCCTGCCTCTGACTCTTCGCTTGGTTCTTTGACTCTGGCTTTACTGTAGGATCAGTACCTGGATCTACACTTGCCATTGGTCTGAGCTGCTGCCACAACCACGAGGCTAGGCCCTGCTCCACCTGGGAGGTAGGCTTCCTATGCTCCAGTCACTTGTAGCAAGCGTGTGTGTACGGGAACTTGTATCGGTTTTTATGGTTTCCTTGTAGTACTTAAAAATTAATATTAGAGTTGCTCATCATCTTTGGAGGCTGCAAAATGCAGACTCTGGGCAGCCTGGCTTGCTGGGGATATCATAGGGTAGGCAGGGAACTGTACAGCCTGGAAAAATCCTGGTCCGGAGAGAGTGAGATACGGGCCTCCACGGGGGGCCTAGAGTAGGTGCCCTGG